TGCTCCAGTTAGCACGTAAAAATCAGAAGGGGGATGATAAAGCTGCCTAAAATTAGTGCAAAAGATGAGAGCTGCAGACCTTTTGTGCTGGTCGTGGAGCTTTCCCCGTAGGGAAGACGCAGGCTCCCTCCTGACCTAACACCAACACAGATGGATGCAGACGATCCTTTATTTTAACATGTTTTCTTCAGAGTTGCTTGACCTGGTTCTCTTTCTGAGCTTCCTTAAAGTGGTCATCTGTCTTCTCTTTTTTTTTGTCCACACTGTAGCTTTAAAAGCCACATCAAAAACATCCCAGTAAGGCTTTTCACATCTTATCCCAACTCCAGTCCTTCACGACTGGAACTATTGAGAAATTAAAGGAACAAGCGTCTAAATTTAGAACGGCTCAGACTTTCATGTGCGTCGAGAGAAAGAGATCCACTTCAAGAGTCTCCTGGGAGGAGTAATGAAAAACACATATGAGAGGATAAAGTAAAAACACTAAGAAGATTAATGGGGTGAAGAAAGAGGAAGAGTGGTTTATGTTTATGCTCTGTCAGATGCCTCAGGATTGAAAACATTCTTTATTCACTTTTCCTGTCTGCCGCAAAGACTTTACACATGAATTAGATAAGAGTAAGAGAGGGATAAACTCCATGGATGAATTCATGAACACACTCCTGTTAAATTTGGGTCGTGGATGCATAATTAACAGCAGAGCCGCACAATATCAGGAACATATGCAACTGCAAAATTGTAGCTAAACAGTACAATGACGATTTCAATTCGCAAAACATTTTCTTACCCTTTGCTCCCTTTATAAAATGTTTTCGCCACCCTGATTGAGGTTTAGCATCTCGGCCGCTAAAACCACATATCATCAGGGCTGTTATATTATGAGAGTCCATCTCATAATATCAGCATGTAAGAATTTGAGACAGTATATCATATTAAATATTGTACCTAAACAAGTGTGATAATGTACTCTGACAGCACGATGACAACTGGGGTTAAATATATTGTGCAGCTATTAATAATCATCCCCCTCAATACAAAGATTACAGCAACAAAACCTTCCTTCCACTCCTCAGTCTTGCCCTCTGACTTCTCTCAGATTTGAATAGCTAAACAGTATTAAAATCAGCAAATCAGCTGACATTGTAAACAGAAAGGCATGATGGGGCTAATTTGCCTTCAGTGAATGAATCCAGACTCTTCCCTTCGGACTCTTTTGCTTTCTGTCACCTTTGCCTCCAACGCAAAGCTTGCACACTGTCTTACAAATAAGCATTTAAAAACAATAAATCTGTTCTTACAAGCTGTCCTTCTTCCTAAGAGAGCTGAGCGATGCTCTCCTGTGCTGGCTGAGGGATCCCCCCATGGCAACAGCAGTATGTGCGTTGGTTTCAGGTTTATCCCAGATGCTCCAAAAATCCTCTTTTGACAGGGTTCACTACTGCATCAGCTCCTGAATGCCTCCAGCAGCACCGCAGCTCCACAACACATCTGACCCAGCAGCCTGTCCTCTGCTCATCTCTCTACATGCTCTGCAAGATCAGAGCATGTAGAGAGAGCTGTATTCCAAGTGAACAGCTCTGGTGACAGTCCCGCCTCCTTGCTGCACTCCACATCTTCCCCTCTTTCACGCACACTAACCAGATTACAGTCCCTCATCAGGCAGGACGATGTCCTCAGATCGAAAACAAAATAGAAGTTCTGTGAGTTATAAGTAGGACAAACTAGCTCCACTTGAATGCCTTCATTTAAAGACAAACTGTGTGCTTCATGGGAGGGTTTTATGTTTAGAAGTGAAAGAGTCTCATCTATTGTTAAATCCAGGGGAATGGAGGAGGGTAAACACAGCTCCACTTACTGAAGCGCTCCCACTACCTGCTGGGTCCCAAACACACCAACATTTTTGGGGGGCTTTTTCTGACTGTTTGTTTTTCTATATATATAATAAAAAATGTTTTCTTAAGAAAAAGTTTCCCTGTACCGACAAAAAAAATCACCACAACAAAATAACAGCTCATAGCTTAGAATATTATCTTTGACATTTTGTTTAGCAAGGCCTTTCTTTCATCTAATACTTTAATTAATTGGACATTTATGCTTTTGTTTTTATTTTATTTTGCTAAATCAGTTACAAATAATCACAGTTATTTGTGACCATGGTGACAGACTGTAGGTTGCTGGTTTTCTAAGTCTCAATGCTACTGCATTCATTTAACATTTCACATGACTTTCTTATATTCAGCAGAATGGTCACCAGGTGAATTATCCTAATTTGAGCTGCGACTTTGCTCTGTTTTTGTCTTGAGTGGACAATGTGTTAAGTATTTTTGCGTTTTCAGTTTGTGCATATTACAACTTCATTTCTCTTCAGCAACTTTATGCGACTTTCAAGGCTCGTCTCTTTTTTATAATTTGGGTTATAAAAATAAACTATTGTGAACCATAAGCCTGAAAGCAGCTGAAACAGCTTGAAAATAATAAATGTCCTCTAGATGTATTAAAATTCTGAACAGGAACTATCTGATCAATGTATTTATTTCTATAAAACAAATATTTCTACAAAGTGAATGCATTACAGTACCCTCTGGGTTTGATTCTCAGGCTCTGCTATCCACCTAGCCTTTCAATTAAATGAATAGTTGAAAACTGAGTCAGAGGGGTCCAGGACAAACCAGCCTTTGACAACAACAGAGGAGCTTTTGAGCGCGTTTCCTCCCACTGAGCTGAATCACATGAAACTCTGCGAGTTTAAGGGTCTACATTGATATCGAGGATATTACGTGGATTCTGTAACTCAAAAGCTAAAACTCAAAACTATAATCTGACAAATCAAAGATAAAGCAAACAGTAATTTCAGAAACTGCTTACTTCAAAAAAAAAAACATTTTTACATTTTGTAAATGCCTTGAAACATATTTAGACACTGGATATGAGAGTAAAATTATTTAAATAACATTTGGAAAAAAACCCAACACAAATACACAATAATATCTTTATTATGGCACATTAGACAAGTATTCACATTTATAAAGCTATGTATTGAAAGAGAATATCACCTTTCTGGCTTGAATAGGCGACTGCCATAACCCAACGTAAAAGGATTATGTCGAGTTAAAACTCTGCTGTGGTTGAAATGACACTGACATTTAACTATTATTGTGAAACTTTTGTGCTTTCTTAACACAAGATAACAAGCAACCTCAGTAGATTTAATGATTTCATCCAAGACTCAATTTACAGCTTTGGTGCTGGGCTGTGGTTCCGCCATCAGTGCATATGAAACACCTACTATACATTTATGTCATAACGACAAAAAGGTTTGGAAAGTTAGCGATGTGGGACTGTTTTTCCAACATGCCCATAATTTTCCTATAAAATAAACTGAGACTACTGGAAGATAACACTTTTGTTTTTATATAATAAAATAAATAAAAAATATTTTTATTGCTTGTTGCTAGAAAAACAACTGGAATCTACAGATATCAAAAAGCAAGGTAATCTAATTTTTAAACAACAGAAATACATGCAACAGAGACATGACAAATAAAGAATTTTATTCACGAAGACTAGACTGACATGAAATGGGTATAATTTTGAGTAAAGACATAAAAAAGTCTATTTAGTAGCATTCTGTTTCTAAATCAATAACATTATAAAGCACGTAGTGCTGGTCTGGACTTGAGATAAAATTGTCCCGACTTGGAGCATTGGTAGAGGAAGCCTTTTTGTAAAATCTATACAAACTTACTTTGTAGTCGATACAACAAGGAGATAAGTTGCATAGTACATATTAAAGAGACAATCCTGTTGTCTTCTGAGGAATCCTCCTTTCCGCACCACAACTCTTCATAAGGATTTGTACTTTAGATTCCTGTGATAAATATAACCAAATCCAAATGTAAACAGAAATTCGGCTAAACAGGAAGGTGCACTACATTTTGGTTTACATAGCACTGTATGCAAATTTAGAGGAGATGAGTGTAGTTAGCATGAATAACTAAAATAAAGGAGTGGCAGCTTTATGCTTCAAGCTGTTTATTACATAAGTAGAATAATTATAGCTGCCAAAGAAAACTTGTAACAGAAACAAAACCTTCATTGTTAAACAGAAAACAAAAAACTTCAGCTGTTTCTTATGGGGCAATATACATTTTTGGTCAACGTAGTCTAAAGTGTCGAACGATCAGATAATTGTATTTATAAATCTCTTTTTCCACAGAAGGGAGAAGAAATGACAACTGAAACTGAACTACCTTCTCACGTGCATTTTAAGTAATTATGATCATAATCTTTCTTTACATGACCACGAGGTCATGACAAATGTGAAAGTGCTAATAAATTATAACATTTAGTCAAAAAAGTGCATTGTTTTGATCTTGAAAAACTTTCAGAACTAAATTGAAATATTTGGATAGCAGGAATGGCAGCAGAGCCGCCACTACGGCAAACAAGCTTTGACAAACACACGTAAACTAAGATCGCCCGACTGCCGCAAACCATCCGGGCAGCAGTCCGGAAAACCACAGACGGTAAGGCATTCTGGAGAGGATTGTCTTTCAGTTTCCGGCTCTGTCGGCTGTCCTTCACTTTCAGATAACGGTCACAAGAGCAGATCTTCATTCATACTAATTTGTTACTGTTGCGGCTGTTCTAAAGCCACGCCCAGGTTGTCGTAAATTTCTTTCAGCAGCAGCAAAGCCGTGTCCTCAGATTCCCTAACACACATACAGATCATTTGTGAGAGTGACAAATGTATCAAGAAAACCAAAATAGAAAATTCAGCGACATATGGTGGTGCAGGTATTTGTGACTCACCAGTAACAGAGATGAGACTGGATGGCAAACAAGTATTCATTGAAGCTCTCAATGGGTTTTTCCTGCAGCACACAGTCGATCCGCCGCCCTCCATTCAGCATCCCCATTTCAATCTCGGGTTCTTCAATCTGCTCCACTGACTCTGAGCACTCAGCTTCTGTGGACACTCCTGCTGCTACAAAAGGCAATACAAAAGATTTTACATGAAGACATCAAAACTATGAGCAGCAGCGTCCGGTTGTTCTGACCCACAAAGAGAATCAAAGAGGAGAAGGACGGCTAGTTCAGTCATTAATGTTAAACTCATTGATAAACTGTGCTTAAATAATCAGCAAGGTGAAAAATACTCAATTATTTTTATAAGACCAGGATTTATAGATGCTGAAACAGAGCTGACTGAAGTTCATACGCTACAAGAGGGGAGAAATAGACCTCCACTTTAAAAATTAGAATAGAACCAAGAGATGAGATCTTAGTACTATCCTGGCAGGTTGAAGGCCCAGACAAAAAAATATATAGAAATTATGTTTACATTTAGAATTAGAAAGTATTTACTGCTATTCCTGGGAACCGGTGTTTAAAACTGCAGTCTTTGAGAGACGGTGTCTTGCTAATTTTAGATGCATCTCTTCTTCAGCATACCTGAATCAAATAATTATGCTACTACCAGGTTTGGAGGAAAATGACTGCAGGGAGGAGACAAGTCCACCATGTAATTCAGGTGTGTTGGATGCCTGCTCTAAAGTGACTAAAGATGAATAGCCGAGAAATCTCTGCATCACCAACACACTTCAGCAGAGCAACACCCAGAAACAAAGAATTATGCCCACATGAATAATGATTGTATGTCAACACAATTCTCATGATCTATTACTTTATCTTTCATTACTAATAGTTTACAGAATCTTACTTTTGTACACAAATCTCTGATGATTCAGTCTCCCTTGTCATTATCGCACACCCTAGTGTGAGAAACACTGTAGACTTATCCAGTTGATTTACTGATTCAGCAGTAATTCGTATGCATGTGATGAGGCAAATGACAGGTAGCTGTGAATCATGCTGGGTCATTAATTCCTGAATTATCTGCAGGTTCTTCATCAGCCATTTATTTGATTCAGTTTTGTCAAACTTGGGAAACATAGAAAATGTGTAGGACAACAGCTCTTGATGGCTGGAGCTGGACGCCCTTGATCTAAAATATCTTAAAACTGGACAAAACATCGTTGAACCATTGGTCCAGGAAAGAGCTGCAGTCAGATGTTCACTATGGCTTAGCACCCAAAGAGAATATATATTATTACTCATAAGTATTATTACCTCCAGAACAAAACATAACAAATTGCACTGGCACTAAACAAAACGTAATTAAAGCTACAACAATCATTTTTCACTGAAACTCACAAACATAATATAAAAACAGAAGAGAAAAAATGATCAGAGACAGTACAAAAAGCCTGAAATGGGTATAAGTATTCTGATTATTTTGAGGGAATGAGTGGGAACCTTAAATTTGAAGGCGCTTTAATAACAGAAAAATCATGTAGCAAGTACATAATTTAGCTGGAATGCTAACATGCTTTGTCGTTTCTCAGAGTGTGCCCACTGCTGGCATCAAAATAGTTTTCCCAGCTAGATCTGATAATCCACTATACAAGCAGTGACTTGCAATCATGCGGTAAAAATCCTACTTTCAACTATCAAGTCTATCATATAACCTGCAAATGAAAAGCAATAAATTTGCTTCAAGGGATTGGCAGAGAGGGAAGAAAACATGACTGTGAAATGAACTCTTTTCTCTGAACCGCTATACCTTAAAGCCATCTAATGACCTGACAGACTTTTCTCATTACATGTACAAACATGTAGAAAAATTGATTCAACAAAAACATAGATTAAAGTGAAGTCTTTCCTACAGCTAATTAATTACTTAGAAAAACAAATGAAGTCATATAAAAATGTGCTTTAGGCCAGATATATGATATAGATAATCAGCAAAGCTGTGAGTGAATCAGCCAATGAGAACTTACAGGTGGAAAGGCATGCATAGACCTGAGAGAGGCTTTAGTAAATTAAACTTTCAGTTAAAATGACAACTTGTTCAGCAGGTGGTAAACTCTTGACGCACAAGGAGAGGAGAAGACAAGCAGAGAAAGCCTGTGGTGATAATGACAACCATTACGTAAGGCCCTTTCTTTGAGCATGTACAAAGATAAACCATCAAAGATGAACAGATTTTTTTTTCTGTGTAAAGCTTTACCACAAGATATCTAACAGGTAAAGACAAGGCAATACTGTTTAATTTGCTTTGTTAGTATAGAATAATACTAGAAGACAAATTACACAAACTCAGGCAGTCGACAAATCTTCAGGGGTTCATTGAGATTACTCTTAGTGTGAACTGAATCATCATATGATCAAAGTGGTAAAACTCAATTGTTTTACTTTCTATCCTGGCTTACCTTTTAGGTAATGCTTCTGAAGGGCCTTTGGCCACTCCTTTATTCTAGTCCAAAAATCTGTACATTTGTCCTCCCTCTTAGCAGCAGCAGTATCTACTGAAACTGGAGTTCACAGTGAGGAGGCAAGAGGTGTGTACAGAAGTAAAAGAACAGAGAGGAGAGAAGGCAGCAGCATGCAGAGAGGAGTGAGAGTGAGAGGGATTCAGGAACAGTGGGTTGGACACCAGCATGTCCTCTCTCAGACAGCACCCAAAGTGAACCAAGTCAAACCCAGAAGAAGCATTTGGTACCTTGATCCTCCTGAGGGCTTGTGTCATTTGTCGCTTCCCCTTCTTCCACTGGGGGCAGTGCAGCTACTGGTCTGGTAAAGGACTGCCAAGCTGTCCGTAATGATCCCAAAACGTTGTTCTTCAAATCCATACTCATTCTGGTTAAGCTCTCTTTAAGCTCTACAGGAGATGAAGAATTACAGATGAACATTTCCAACTGCGCAGATGAATAAAGGAAAACTGTCTTACCAAGGTGCATTCTCTTTCGGCCTTTGTGGTGCGGTATAAGCATCGGCTCCAGATCCACCTCCGAAACAATCATGGGCTCGATCCGATAGGCAACAGGGTCATACTAAATGGGTATTGAGACAACACAAGGCGAATGCAGCTTTTGAGATACCAATCTCTCATTTAATCCTTTAAAACAGAAGTTTTCTTAATTGATACGAGTTAAATTAACATCAAATGGAGGCAACATGCATCTAAGCAGGTCTTGACGCTCAATTCAAATTTTTTGCTGAAATATGACTTTTTTTTTACATGATCATTCATACTATTAAATAAAGCCAACTGCAATCAGACTTCTCTGTGAAAGGTTTATGTCCCTAAAGAGACCTGCATGCAGAGATAATCTCCAGCTTAAATCAAATGTCAAAGCTTTCGAAACTGTGAAGGAACCACAAGATACTCACTGGATGGTAGATGTTATAGAAGCTCTTGCAGGTTGGGAATGAATAGTTTGGATCAATGCGTTTCAGGCCTCGTACAGTCAGAAACATTCCAATCGGAGACCCAAAAGCAAAAAATGTCTCAGGGTAAAATGCCAGCTGAGGGTAATCGATGGACACCTGTGGGGAGTAGAGACAGGAGGAGAAATGGGAGGTAGTGTGAGAAGTTAGCTAAAGTGGAACTTACAAAAACATGTACATCATTTATAAATGATGGACTCGTTTCTTCAGTGACATATGTCGAGAATGAAGAGATGACCACTCATGCAGCATAATACAAATGTATGAGCACAGATACAGCGTTCTTTGCTACAACGCTGTGCTTTTTGTTTGAACAAACTGTAAGAGTCATGGGAATTTCTATAAAAAGCTGTCACTTCAATTCAGTTGCCAAGATTGCACTCTGCACAAAGGAAACATCAAGTCAAAGTGAGGTCAAACACATCAAGAGACAAGGCCTGAGGAGAACGTGGACACCATGTGAGACACACCTGTCCCTTGGCTATGCCTCCATTGGACTTTCCAGGCAAGCAGGGAGAGGAAAAAAGCAGCAACGGTGACGAAAAAAAGCAAATTATACATTTTGCATGCTTATCTATTACCTGTCCAATGCCGACATCAAAGTATTCGTAGTCCACAGCACCGGTGGTAGAAAGTCTTTTGTGGAGCAGGGATTTCTGATCCGGCGATTCTGAAGACTGGTTGCCCTCCCTGGTAACCTGAGGTGGACCAGACCCCAAGGTCTGATACCCTGGTGCCATCCCATAGTCCTTATAGAACAGAAGTCATCCAACTTTGTAAATAACCCCAAAAAACAAAACAGTAAATGCTAAAGAATAAATGAAATTACTAACTGCCTGTTTTTCACTGATTTACTCATTATTCCTCACAGTATATGTTAAGTAGGGTTAAATATAAAAAGTAACACCTCCTAAACCCTACACCTGAATAATGGCTGACCTCTGGAAGCCTCTTCTTCCTGATGTAGTGCAAAATCTTCTTTCGGGGTCCAAGAGGAATTCCTAAATTTCGAAGGTCACTGTCTTGGCAGAGAGCCTAAAGAAAAAATATTAAAATGTGGTTTTCAAAATTTGTACAGTATACGTAATCCAAAGGTTTCAGTCTTATATTTCTATTTCCGCAGTACTCATTTGACATGTACAAAGATTTGTACAGTGCTGTATCAAATGCCAATAAGTACATTGAAGTGTGTGGTTCTAATTTAATAAAAGTTCAAGGTGTTTGAATACTTTTTTATAACAGTCTATGGGTATACAGTCTATTGCATATACCAGTGATTCCATGTCCACATTTTCTGCCAGTAGAATTTGCAGGTACTGCTGGAGGTTCAATTTAGTCAGCATCTGCTCCAAAGTGTCACTGTTCAGAGCACAGTGTTCTCCTGAAGGTACCTTAAAAACAGAAATAATTCTCTTAGGAGTACGCTTTTCAAAACAGAAAATAAGATAAAGACATTCATAGTAAATTTAATGTCATACTCCGTCTTTTGCTCTGGATCTATTTCTCTGATTGGTTAGCAGGTCAAACAAGATCAGAGAACCTGAGTAAAAAGAGAGATGGCCCACTTCAGTAAAAAAAACTTTGCAGATTACACCTGCATGTGAATGTTTGTGATTCTGTGTGAGTAAAACTCTGACCCAAGCTGTGTCCTACAACAGAAGTTTTTCCATCAAATTCTGGGTGTCTCTGCTTAAAGAGGGCATGTAGCCGGTTGATTTCTGAGGCCACTGTGTCCACTATGGTCTGGCAGTAGGTAGGGCTGTTGTAGAAAAATAAGTCCAACAGAGTGTCGTTGGTGAAATGCCGGAGGCGGCTGATGCTGGGCAGAGTGATCCTTTGAATGTCCCTAAAAAATGGGAAAGGAGGGAGAAAACAAAAACAAGAGCACAGAGGAGTTATTTTTTTGGCAGTTGTGACAGACATTTTTCTTTTCTACCATTTCTGCTTATCAGGTTACGTACTCATCCACACCGGTGGCATCCCCATGCAGAGCGCTGTGCCAGTTGACAGGAAGGAACTCAACTCGACCCACTTGGCCTTCCTGCTGAGAACGCCTGTAGTGGGAGGCCAGGAGGGACAGCGAAACACCCCTGAAGTCATTCACTGAAAACAGATGAAAATCGAACTGAGTCATTGATGCACATTTAAGAAAATTCATGCACAACCACACACACAAACAGACTCACCGCACTGTATGATGGATCTAAAGCGTAAATCACATGCTGGACCAATCCCATGCACCATAAAGACCAGGTGATCCACCTTCTCCGGTTCACCTGAAAACAAACTGACATGATGAGAGCTCCTGGTAATGAGTTTATCTTTCATTATGATCTGACAGCAAAAGAACACACATACCATCAGGTATTTCTACAGAGATGTTCTCCACTCCTCTCTTGACTGTACAAGGCCGTAACTGCTCCGACGGAGAGGGACCCCATTCATCCTGCAATCCTATTGGCTGATAATGCATTATCAGCTGAGAAAGGGACAAAAAATTTTGAGGAGGGACCCATGAAGTTCATTTAAAAAATCTGTTGTTTTTATTGTTTAAAAAAATGAAACTATAAAATTCAAAACGTGTACAGCATGTTTTGCTTTACACGTGCGCTTACATCAGCTTTCTTTAGATTTAAAACCATTTGCATTGAATTGGAGTTTCATATAGTCATGTATATACACTCAATATGTAAGGACAAAATGCATTTATCAAAAGAAAACTTAAAAAAAATCAATGTGTAATATAGGTTTATTTCTCTGTAAAGACATTTACTCACAGATAAAAATCAAAAATAAGTGCCAATAAATGACAAAAATTTCTTACAGCTGAGGCAAAAGACTCCATTCCCTAATAGCTAGTGTTACCATTTTGGTGAAATAATTATAGTGAGATGTTTCTTGTGACCATCTAGCTGTCTCTCACATTGATCTAAGCCGGAAAGTTTGTCCCACTCCTAACTTTCAACTGTGAGATATTCGAGAGGTCTATTGCATATACAGCCCATTTTAAGTCACCCTGCAGTATCTCAATGAGATCAAGATCTTTATTTCAACATAGGACTTTCCTCTTCTTTTCAAACCAAATAAACCACATTTTCTTTTCAGTTATAAAATCCAGTGTGGGGTCCACATCATTAACCGACTCTGAACACCAAACCTCACCTTAGGGTTGTGCAAGATAACAGTTTCTCCAGTGGGAAAATGCAGCTTCCTTTTCCATTCATCTAAGGTCACTGCTATCATATAGGCTTCCTGAAAACTCAGCATAGTTGAGATGGATTATTGGTGGGAGAAAATAACACGCATGTCACAAGTCAAAGTTGGAGAATAAAGAAAGTCTGACGGAAAGTTTAAAAAAAAGCAAAAGAATTAATGTGAGATTACCTCCAAACGACTGCTGAAATCCTCAGAGTAAGGAAAGAATCTTGTGTCTTTATCTCCTTTGTAGAACCAGGTGCAGCGGCGGACCTCAGTGGGAGTTTGGTCCCAATAGACAGCAAAGCGCATCCTTTTCTTGACATATACATCGTAGCGCTCCCCTTCCACAGCAACCACAATGTCCTTTTGCTGTTCTTTTACTGTAAAAAAATGGAAAATTATTTCATGTCTCTATTTCAAAAAAATTAAAAAATAAGGACTCATGTGCTTTTCTCTGGTATTAAATAAATATATCAACTGATTGTTAAAAAAAATCTGATTTTTTTTCCACAATTGACTAAACTATTGTACTGTATCAAACAAAACTCTTCAGTAAAAATAGCTCCAAAGACAATAAAATACAATAAAAAATACTATATTTATGAAGCCCTTCATTACTGATGAAACTTGCCTCTTCTTATTTCAAGCTTTTTTTACAAAATGCCAATGTCATTTGGAAAGCATTTGTGCATTGTTAAAGGAAACAATAATAACTTGACCCAACTATTGAACCTGTCGACATTTACGTTTCTAGATAAATATTGTCTAGAAATGTTACGTTTCTAGATTTTTACTTAGTCAATTGACATTTGTAGTTATATGAATTGGAAATATAGAGGGCTGAAGGTACACTAAAAATAAGGTTTAGTGCCCTACCTTGGTTCTAATGTCATATTTCAGTCATGGGTTTGATTTGGAGGAACATTTCCTTTTCCAATTTAACTGACTTAGTAAGAAACCTTAATAATCCCAAAAAACAGACTTCAGTGTTAGCTGGGAGAGCTTTGTGTATTGTTTTGGTGTTGCATTTCAATATTGCGCAGACACAACATGACATTTTTTACTTTAGTTTCACACAGTACTATATTCATTCTGTAAATGTGCGTGCCAAAATACAGGTGGTGTAACTACATGTACTGCTTCAACTACAGTAGACACTTAAATTCAGACTAGAAATGGAAAAAATGTCCACATGTCAATTTCACTACAGATGCTTAAAAATTCATTACAGTGGAATTCATCAAAACCCCCCAGAAACCAAAGTTCACCTGACAGGACTATGTCCAAACATTTAGAGACAAAGGGGTGGGGGATGTGTCAACTGGACTTTGCTTCAAGAATCACAGGACTGTTTTCCAATTGTATTTTTTTCCAACACCGATTTACAAGGAAAGAAAAACATGTATAACACTTCCACTACAACATCACTTTTATTTCAAACAGCTATTAGTATTTACAACAACATAATAACAGTTTATGTCTAAGATGCTTATTGTTCCTTACCAGTATGGAAAGCATTTTCTAGCTTGTCAGAGTCCTCTCTGCTGAAAGGATGCCAGGAGTCGCTGTCATCTGCCTGACGACAGAAGAACCAGTGAGGCTGCACCTCTTGGTACGGAGGTGGCACTGACTCCATGTCCAGCATCTCAAAAGAGGATGTAGAGGAAGGAGAAACCTCATCCAAAACAGGAGAAACCTGAAGAAAAAGAAATGCATCGAAAGGCATTACCTCCTCTTGATTGAAGCTATAATCCTCTGTAATGACAAGGAAAATACCTCCTATTGACGGTTATTTTGTGTCTTCCTTTTTGCAGAGCGGTTCACTGGTCAACCCTGCAGGAAGTGACCAATGTCTGCACCCTCCTACTAAAACCCCATCAAGTGAGCTCAGCCCATTACATAAAGCAAAGGGCAGTCAGGAAACAAAAGATCAGCCCACCTCTTGATCAAATGAACAAAGCCTTGTATTCTTCCCTCATCTACAAGCTTTGCCTTGTCTGTTCTGCTGATTCCAAGGTGGCCACCGCTTGTAAACAATTTCTTTCCACAGAATTTCTTATGCCTACAAAACAATACAACCAGTAATACGGCTCCTGTTTCAGCGTGCTGAACGGTAGAGCCTGCCACTATTTGACACAACATTCACCCACTGCGCAACTGCCAGATCATTCAAGTTGTTTACACTTTCCCAATTTGATTAAATAAGTATGTGCACAAAGCATGAGTACATTCTTTTGTAAAGATTGAGAAACTGGAATGTGATTGGAAAATACTTCCTAAGAATTAAATCTCACTGATTCCTTGAAAAATTTTACTTTTTGTAGGTGCATTATTAATGAGCTGCAGAAAAACAGCTAATGTGTTTTGAACTTCTCGAAAGTAACAAACTCAGGACTGGCAATTAAAAAAGCTCCAGCCCAACTGTAGGTATGTGCTGTGTTTGCTGTCCTTTATGGAGCTCTTGCCAAGTCCAACATTTTACAGAGTGTAAACATCATAAAAAGAGGAGCAGCATGTGATGTCCACTTTTCTCCAGTCCCCAAATAGAAGCTCACAGTTTCTTGTTTAGCCTGTGGTCATGCAGTAAAGCTAGGATGCTCAAAGTTATATTTGTTCTACAAAGCATGTTTTCTGGTAAAACTTTACTGATCTCTTTCTTTATTTATCACAACTCATGTCATTATTGCAACATCGACCAGTATCATCATTTTTTGCTAGTTTAGCTAACATCATCCAGTCTGAGGCTGAACATTTCGTGACCTTAACCCTTTACATTTTAGGATGAAAAATAATGCTACAGAAATGCCTTAATATATATTCTTTCAAAACAGACAAATTAAACCCAGAAGCATCTGTCTGAAATAAGACAGGACATCTATAAAAACGCATTCAGTTATGGAAGCGAAACATGCATGAATCATGCAAAATGCTTTGTGAAGAAGGACAGAAAGTAAACATACTGCAAGGCTTAAAATAGAACCATTTGCATCATGATATGAAATCCCATCTGCAGCCTCACCTGTGCCTCTGCAAGAGACAGCTCGGCCTTGCTGGCCTCAGGTGTATTGCATGTTGCAGCAGTCTGAGAAGGGCTGTCAAATTCGTCCTGGGTGGTGGCGGTGGTGTTGTTGTTTGGGGCAGCCTGAGAAAGACCCCCTCTGTCACCCTGACTGGATGACATCGGCCCGACCCTCAGCTCTTACCTGAGGGGTGGAGCACTGTCACAGGACCTGGAACAGCCATATGCGCAAGGATCAACAGGTAAACAGACGACTGCAGCATAACCTGATGTTATCTTGAAAGAGCATAATAGGTGGTGAAGCTGAGAAACAAGACAGATTAACAGCGACTAACACCTTACTTAGAGTTTTAAGGTGAGGTGTTAACTCCTAATCGTCTGATTTAAAGCCTGCTTAACTTCTGCCCTGTAAGTGCATTGAAATGGAGGTAAACAGTTTGGTTTCGACCAAATATAGGTAACAAGGGACGCATTATACCCTCGAGAAATTTTCGGAATAATCTTAAACACAACTAGTTAATTTTAACCTTCACACACGTTTTGGCCCGAAATGTTTTAAACGACTCGGAAAAAAAGAACCCCAAAACAAACATAACGTTCAGGCCACGGGTTGATGAGTGCCATGCTAGCTGAGAAACAGCGACACGACCGCTAAGTTATTTATTTTCTTGTCTTCCAGATGTTTTAACGTCACGACATTAACAGCGTTAAGTAACTGACAGAAACTCACCGCAACCGTCTCATATAGACCGAAAACAAACGGCTTGAGCGGGCGTTATGTTGCTCGGTTTGCTAATGCGGCTAGCTACGGACAGCCTCCTGTCAACTCAGCTGCTGTCAAGATATGTTTAGGTGTCGTCGGAAATACGGCAATTCGGAAAACGTCTATAAAAGACGTTTTCCGAAAGATTTACCCCCACAAAACAAACAAAGGACAACAACGTTAGTTGACATGAAGTGCGTTAAAAATGAATCTTTTCTAAAAGGTATACTTGTAATGTAATGTACGATAAATGCTATTTTAAAAGGAGTTGATACAAATCATTACGCAATTGTAAAATTTTTCTGGGGGGTAATATTTCACCGTAACACATGAGTGCAACAAACATGATGATAACAAACAGAAGGTGAAAACATTTAATAACATCCAGTCCTTTTAAAAGAAATTGAATTTACAAGAAACTTTAAAGGCAACATCGACAAAAGCAGAGTTGCAGCAGCTGTCATCAAAACTGTAAATTAGTCCGTACAAAAGATTATTTGTTTATGGAAGCCCGTTTCTATGGAAGCCCGTTTCCGCCACTCTGTTAAAAAAATTAAATAAAATTATCTCATTATAATGAGATAGTATCTCAAAATAATGAGATAGTATCTCATTATAATGAGATACTATCTCAAAATAATGAGATACTATCTCAAAATAATGAGATAGTATCTCAAAATAATGAGATACTATCTCAATATAATGAGATAGTATCTCAATATAATGAGATAGTATCTCAAAATAATGAGATAGTATCTCAAAATAATGAGATAGTATCTCAAAATAATGAGATAGTATTTCAATATAATGAGATAGTATCTCATTATAATGAGATAGTATCTCAAAATAATGAGATAGTATCTCAAAATAATGAGATAGTATCTCAAAATAATGAGATAGTATCTCAATATAATGAGATAGGAGACTGTGGAGGTTGAACCCCCTTTCGAATTGGTTCAGTCCACCTGGACAGATTTGACGGTACCATCGGTCGCGCCTGCCGCCTGAAATCACCTAGCTAAATGTAGCTATTTACAACGGTAAGAATTGTGGTTTTGTTCATTTAAATTAAGTCTGCAATATAAGCTAGCATAGTATAAAGTAATCAATTTGTTATACTGACGACGGTAGCTAATTTTGAAGATATCAAAATTAGCTACCGGTTTCTGTTTCTTCACTTCGTCAGTGCACAACTGACTTTTCGTTGATTGTAGTTAATATCTGAGGATTACGTGGTACGTTTATTTGCTGTAATGATACATGTTCAGTCTACCACAAAGTGTAATAACTGGTGAGTAGTTCCTAGATGCTGCATCACGCTCCCAAACCATTGCGACGCCAAAACGATACCTCTAGCCTATGTATTTTTTTAAGTTAAACTAAAATATGTCGTGGCATTTTATGTCGTACTCTGTCAGAATCTCTCTCTTTTATTAAATTTTAAATACTTTATGTACCTGGTCCCCAAGCAAATAAATAAAATAATAAATAATTGTCTGTTTGCAAATCAATTTCTTTGATTTAATCAGTAAGTTCAAGTAACAAACAAAACATTATGTGCTTGGTTTTGTACAGTGCAGGTTGTTTCAGAAAGAGAAGAGTGGATGGTGTGCACCAGCTGGATTTTCACAAGCCTTAACTCATCACACAAGCGGTATAAGTGACTTCTCTGCTATAGTGTGTTTCTCCAGTTCTCCATTGAAAGACCTTTATGCTCCTCAGACAGCTTCATTTTATGTTTTCTTTCCTTTTCTACTGCTAAAGACATTGTCAGTATGGAACGGTACAGTTCTTTGTTATTACCAATAAATATTTTTATCTTTTCTGTGAATTTAAAGAGGTTTCTCAAGATGTGTCCATTTAAACCACTGTATATGCATAAATTTGTGTAATTACACAAATAAAATAACTGTGGTAATAGTTATTATAAAACAAAAGTTTAAAAAGATGCATTCCATTTTCTGTTCACCCTTGTTCCTATTGGGGTTGGGAGTTGCTGCTGCCTCTCCAGCTTCGTTCCAGGCGAGAGGTGGGGTCACCTGGACAGGTTGCCAGTCTGTCACAGGGCAACATAGAAACAAACAGGACAAACAACCATGCACACACACACTCACACCTAGGGAGAATTTGGAAAGACCAATTACCCTGACAGTCATGTTTTTGGACAGTGGGAGGAAGCTGGAGTACCCGGGGAGAACCCACCATGCACAGGGAGAACATGCAAACTCCGTGCAGAAAGACCCCGGGCAGGGAATCGAACCTATGACCTTCTTGCTGCAAGGCAACAGTGCTAGTAACTGCACCACTGTGCAGGCCCCCTAGTAAAATCATTTCACAAAAAAATAAATAAATTGCGCTTAAAGGAATTATGAATGTCCCGGCCCGGGGTCTTTCTGCATGGAGCCTGCATGTTCTGTGCATGTGTGGGTTCTCTCCGGGTTCTCCAGCTTCCTCCCACAGTCCAAAAACATGACTGTCAGGGTAATTGGTCTTTCCAAATTCTCCCTAGGTGTGAGTGTGTGTGTGCATAATTGTTTGTCCTGTCTTTCTCTGTGTTGCCATGCGACAGACTGGCAACCTGTCCAGGGTGACCCCGCCTCTCGCCCAGAACGCAGCTAGAGATAGGCACCAGCACCTCCCAACCGCACTAGGGACAATGGTGGTAGAAAATGGATGGATAAATGGCATTATGAATTATAATTAATTTTTCAGGAAAATTATAATTTGTAGTATGACTTGCTTTACATTTTATTGGAAACATGATGGTCTTGTGTATCTTCACCTTCCAGTGTATGATCACAGAATGGATGACCTGAGTGATTTCCTGAGACAAAGAAATATTCCTGAGGAAACTATTGAGACCATGCTGAGAGAGAAGGTACAAGCTAAAAAATAAATCAGTATTTCAAAAATTACGGTTTGTTTAAGGCATGTGTCTAGCAATGTTATATAATTGAATTCAAATAATTTGCATGCAATTCTAGTTCCATAAGTTTTAAAATAAATTATTTTTTATTCTTCTTGTTTAGATTGATAGCAGTGTCATCCAACTCATGACAGATGAAGAGCTAAAGAGTTATTTGCCATCATATGGAGACCGCATCGCCCTATTAGGATACTGTAAAAGGAAGGAAACTGGTCCCCCAAACAGTCACAAATCAAAACTGTTTGAGCGCCTGAAATCAAAGCTGGGTAAAAGGAAAACTGCTCATCAAGATGGTTGTGGTCTGGAAAAAGAAGAGCAATCTGAAACAAACGTTAAGAAGAATGCTGAAGTCAAAGAGAAAAATAGAAATAGGCTGGCTGCTTTATGATGAAGACCAACAGCTTTTAAACAAGTAAGAGCAAGAAGAGGTGGTGGAACAAGGAAGGTTGATGTTTCAAAGGATGCTAAAAAAGTGAGTTAATCCAAATAGCTGTTGGCATTTTTCCAAATGGAAGAAATAGAGAAGGGTCCATAGCAGATTTTGAAATAGATCTGAAAGATTATCAGGAAGTGGCAGTTGATGACAAAATCACTGTTGGACAAATGTTTCATGTTACAAAACTGACTATTCTCAGGTTTTACCTGACCACCCATAAAAGAAGGCTAACCAGTCAGTCAGTCAAGATGAAGTTTTGCCTTCACCATTTTTCAGGATCAAGCCAGTTCTGTGAGTCGGCCCTCTTCTTCATCTGCTGTTAATGTTGCAATGACCAGCCAATCCACAATGTCCACAGAAGTAACTCCTGACTTTCTATTTATTGGAAACATAACAAATCATGACATATAAACTTTTCACTTCAGTCTACAGAGCTTAGGGAGGAGGATTTGGATAGCAGTGGCATAGTGTTTCTAGGACCATTTTCTGACAGTGAGCCACAGATTTTGGACGATACTTTGCCAATATCCCCCCAATCCACATCATCTGCCAAAGCAGTGAAGGAGATACTGATAGTTCACAGAGGACAGGTACTTCCTGAGCTCATAGCACATTTCTGTGATGACAGACTTTTAGATAGAGACTTCGAAATCCAGCTAGTACTGCCAGATGGAACTCCTGAGATGGGATATGATGACGGAGGAGTCGTCAGAGACTGTCTTTCTGAATTCTGGAAAGAATTTCTATGACCAATGTACTACAGGAAACACTTACAGAGTGCCTTTTCTGAGATGATTATGGACAGAGCCAGTGGGAGAGTGTAGGCCGAATAATTGTTTTTGGATGGACAAGAGAGAAATATCTTCCTATGAAGATTGCACCTGTCATACTAGAGCAAGCAGCCTTTGGACAGGTAAAAAGTGATGTAGTGGAGAATTTCCTTAAGTGCATGCCTGAATCTGAGCGCTTTGTGTTTCAGTCATGGCAGTCAGTCATAATTGTTTTTGGATGGACAAGAGAGAAATATCTTCCTATGAAGATTGCACCTGTCATACTAGAGCAAGCAGCCTTTGGACAGGTAAAAAGTGATGTAGTGGAGAATTTCCTTAAGTGCATGCCTGAATCTGAGCGCTTTGTGTTTCAGTCATGGCAGTCAGTCATAATTGTTTTTGGATGGACAAGAGAGAAATATCTTCCTATGAAGATTGCACCTGTCATACTAGAGCAAGCAGCCTTTGGACAGGTAAAAAGTGATGTAGTGGAGAATTTCCTTAAGTGCATGCCTGAATCTGAGCGCTTTGTGTTTCAGTCATGGCAGTCAGACTTCAGCAGTGTTGACCAAGAGGAATTGATAGAGATTCTTGATAACTACAGTTGCAGACGAATGCCAACTGCCAGCAACGTAAATGAAATCCTCCAGGAGCTTGCACACAAAACACTTGTCCAAGAGCCTGCTTATGTTATTGAAACAGTGGGCCAAAACACTCAGTAACACCGGGAACAGCTTCCAGGATCTTTCTTCAGTGTATGAAAACTTACAACCAAATGCAAGAAAAGTTTTGAAGTCCATTGTCTTTCCTCAGGAATGAGTGGTCATCAGAAGGACATTCAAAAGTATGTTAGCACATATATCAGGAACGCAGATTTGCAGCATCTGTCCTTGTTTCTAAGGTTCTGCACAGGTTCAGACCTGTTCTTGGATAAGAAAATTCTTATT